AAAAAAAAAAAAAAAAAAAAAAAAAAAAAAAAAAAAAAAAAAAAAGGGGGGGGGGAAGCAGCATTTTTCTTCTGCATAGTAAAGTTTCAAAGCTGTATTAAGTCAATGTTCAGTAGTAAACTTTTGAAAGAACAACCATAATGTTTTGTTTAGAGTTACCAACATTTCAGAGTTACGAACACCCTCCATTCCCGAGGTGTTCGTAACTCTGAGGTTCTACTGTATATTTTAAGATATTTTCCTGCATGCTGTACTACTGATTTTCACTTTTTTCACTTGCCTATATAAATAGAAAATTTACAAAGGAGAATAAAAATTCTTATTGATTTCTGTGTGCATACACATTCTGTATAGACATATGATTTAATCTGTATAGTCATTGTATGGCATTTTTCCCACTCTGGAAATTCCATCCACTTGTATGACCTTAAAACAAATTTTAAAAGCAAGAGAGAGTTTATTTACAGAATATGGTACGATATTTTTCAGTGCTGGGCCTGGTGAATTAACAGATGCAATTCTCATTACCAGTTTGGGGTGTGCGCTTAATTTCCTTTATGTTTTACTGAAAAATGTCTACCTATTGCATTTAAGTTGATTTGATTTCAGAGGATTTACTCCAGATTTACACCATTCTAACTGCAAACAGAAGGCCATGTCACACCATCAGTTTTTCTTTTTAGCAGAAATCAGCTGGGTGTTTTGTTTAAAAATCTGATGGCACAACACGACCAGAATTTGGGTTAGCATGGGTCAAGGATCCACAGTACCCACTCCACAGGCTCACTTATTATGTACCAGTGCCTCATTCAGGGTGAAACTCCCCTGTGTATCACCTGACTCTCTACACTACTCAGGCCCTGCATGGGGCCTGCATACCTGTTAGGGTCTGCTGAAAGGTTTTCTGCACTGGACCCGCATAGAAAGCTATGATGGCAGCCAGTTGGGCCTTAAAGTATTTTCAGTAAGTTGTTTTTCCTTAAAGTATTGCGGGGAGATAATTTATTTAGAAAAGTATTATTAGAAAAATTATAGTGTGTGCGCTACTTACGAAATCTTAAGCCACTGTTACATGGCCAAATCAAACCCAATTTTCCCTGAAAGACACTCTTCCCAGAGGGATGGCTCAGTTCCTCAAAGGTATTTAAGTGCCTAACCCCCCCCTCACCCCCCGCCCATCCAGTCCTGCATACCAGGCCTTTTGTTCAAACTTTCCAGGAAAATTCATTAGCATCCTGCTGGGGCATGTCTATGGAAAACTATGGATGTTGGTTCCATAACAGGCCAAGCTACTCAGGAAATAGGCTGGCTTGTTATGGAAGTCCAACAACCAACTCTGCATCCAAACAGCTAAGGATCTCGTATGGGGAGGAAAGGTCACAGAGATGGGGATGATGGTAGGCTGCTCATCACCATCATGTCATGATTTTGCTCACAAGGGAAAAGTACCTCTGTGCAGTCAGACGTAGTCCAAGTGGCTGCATATCCCAGGCAGTCTGCAGAGCTACTTACTGAGGAGGTTGCTTTCTCCTGGAGTGAGCCATTTGTTGCAGATTTCTCCAAAATGACATATTTAAAGGCCAAACTAGCTGGGTGGAAATGTACCTAGCAAAGCACTATCTGAAAACAGGAGGCCTCTCAGAGAAGTACATATTCACAAGAATGGTACAGTTTTCACATTGAAAACATATTTCTCTTTTCGTGAACTAAATCAGTTGACTTGCTCCTAAAGGTGTCAGGGTGCACATGACATGTGTTTATGAAACAAGCTTTCCCTTCACATTTACAAACTGCAGTACATGAGACTGTAACAGAGATACTCTTTTTCTTTCAGCTGCCTTTTAACAGCAGGGCTGGCAGTTATGAGTTACTGGTGAAAGGCCATGCCGAGGGCCGGCTGTTATTCTCTAACAGCACCAGCTTGTTATTTGAGCACAAGAGTATCTCTGTCTTCATCCAGACTGACAAGTCTCTATATAAACCAGGCCAAGAAGTGAAGTTTCGGATTGTCACTGTTGATCCTGATCTCAAACCTTTCAAAACTTCTCTAAGCATATACATCCGGGTGAGTACACGTTAGAAATCTAGCAATACACTGAAATCAGCGTGACATTTGAATTTCCAGTCAAGTCATGCTCCTGAGTCTGCTCACATTTAACATGCAGCATGGGTTTTACTTTAGGACCCTCGAGGGAATTTGATTCAGCAGTGGTTGGCAGAGAAAGGTGATTTGGGTATGGTTTCCAGAAGATTTCAATTATCAACAAGCCCTCTACTTGGAGACTGGTCCATACAAGTACAAGTCAATGTGAGTATTAACACTGTTGAATTGTATAGAAGGTTAGTTCCTCCTGCCAGACAGTGAAATTCTCCACAGTTTAAGAATGAAATCTAAGTTTGCAATGATGAGACAAAACAAAAACAAGTATAAGCCCTGATCCTGCAATGAGGCTGAGCCCTCTTGAAGCCAGTGTGGGTCTGCCTGTACAGAGTTCATTGCAGGACTGAGGCTAGGCTGGGAAAAACTAACAAAACCTAGGTAAAGGTTTTAATAGTATATGGTTTTGTAGCAAACTAGAATTCTGAACATTCTAAATTAAGGTGCATATTTCATCCTGAGCTTTGGGTTTTGGTTTTGACAGTTAACATTACAACTTAAATGTTTAAAATTAGTTAGGTTTTTATAAATATTACTTTATGAAGGAAAGAAGGCATGGGAGGTTGCAAGCAGACTGTTCTGGTGTCTTGAGAAGAGGCACACTTAGATTTATTAATGACAGGCAAGTTTACAAAAAATCAACATGGTATGCAGCCAGCCACTGGCTCAAGAGGCCATAGACTCAAGCACTGGAGCTGTAATTTTAAAAAGGGCTGGATAGTTTTATTACAGCAGAACCTCAGTAATTTACTCTAGTGACTGGGAGAGCCATTAAAAATGACTGAGTTATGCACAATAGCGAATAAGTGAGTAATAAAGCAATGATAAGGCAACACAAAATGTATCACTAAACTTTGTTTAATTGGTAAGTTGTAATTTATAATAGTTTCTAACTGTTTACGATATTTCTGTACAGTCCATGAAATGTTGATTTTCATAAGGCCCTATTAATAGGACTCTGTATGCTGCAAAAAGAACAGGAGTACTTGTGGCACCTTAGAGACTAACAAATTTATTAGAGCATAAGCTTTCGTGGGCTACAACCCACTTCTTCGGATGCATATAGAGTGAAACATATATTGAGGAGATATATATACACACATACAGAGAGCATGAACAGGTGGGAGTTGTCTTACCAACTCTGAGAGGCCAATTAAGTAAGAGAAAAAAAACTTTTGAAGTGATAATCAGGATAGCTCAGTACAGACAGTTGGATAAGAAGCAAGTGTGAAAATACTTACAAGGGGAGATAGATTCAATGTTTGTAATGGCTCAGCCATTCCCAATCTTTATTTAATCCTGAGTTGATTGTGTCTAGTTTGCATATCAATTCCAGCTCAGCAGTCTCTCGTTGGAGTCTGTTTTTGAAGTTTTTCTGTTTTAAGATAGCCACCTGCAGGTCTGTCATAGAATGGCCAGACAGGTTAAAGTGTTCTCCCACTGGTTTTTGAGTATTATGATTCCTGATGTCAGATTTGTGTCTGTATGCTGCAGGAGTTCATCCCCTAGCAGCTTCCAGTGCAGGATTGGGAGCTTCTACAGTACACCTTTAAGAGAATATATACTTCATAATTATAATAAAAACAAAAAATGATTCTTTACAAAATCATAAAATGTTACTCTAAATTCACTCAGTCTAGATAAATGCTGGATAGTCAATTGCAATGCAAAAGAAGTGGACTTTTAAAAACATGTTGCCCACTAGATGTCAGTAAAACCAAGAAAAAGCCTTAATACAAAACTAGGGTAAAAGCACTAAGCATCACTGAAACCTGCATGCTTTAGGCATTGCAACAGAAAAGTGCTATGATGTTCTTTGCACTAATGCAGGGCTTTAGCGTTATTTCTCCTTGTCAGCAGAGACAAAATTTTAAGTATACATTCTATTCCCACAGGGGGGAAACAATATACAAATTTGTAGTATTCTGTATTCATTTACTTATAATGCTGACTAAAAATTTTTCACCAAAATGTTTTTTTGTGGAAAATGCTGTTTTACTGAAACTGACCTTCTGTGGGAACCTGTCAATTCTGATGAAATTTTGTTTCGAAACAAAATCAAAATGAAGTGTTTGTTAAAGTTGAAACATTCCATTCCAATACGGTCAAAACAGAACATTTCAACCATATCCAAAATGCTTAGTTTCTATTTTTTTTAATGAAATTTTGTCAAAATCAATATGTTCCCATGGAAATTTTTGATTTCAATTAAATGATTCAGTTTAAATTAAATGGAAGGATAATCAAAACCAGTTAGTTAATTATGGTTTTTGATTTCTAAAGGGCAGACTTTGGAAAATTAAAGAAATTAGTTAAAGAAATCAACTAGACTGAAGAGCACAAGGACTTAAATGTGGAGGAAGCTTGGAATTTCTTCAAATCAGTTATACAAAAACGATCTGAAATTTGCACCTCCAGCAACAAGAGTAAATTTGTAGAGAAAGGCTGCATACCCAGCTGGAGGAATAATCACCTCAAAAAAATATTAACAGGAGTAAGCAAAGCACCTATGAGGAATGGAAAAAGGGGTTGATCCGCAAAAAAGCTACATTGTGTAGGTTAGAAAATGTAGGAATAAAGTGAAAAATGCTAAAAGTCAAGCTGAATTAACTCTTGCCAAGGAAATTAAAATAAATAGTAGTTTTTTTAGTTATGTAAATAAAAAGAGAATACGGAAGGATGAGGATGGGCAATTGGGCAGTGTAGATGGGAAGGAGATAAAAGATAGTCTAGGTATGGCCCCAAACCTAGATGAATACTTTTCCTTGGCAGTACGGCTGATGGAATGAGTGTCTAGAAATGGAAATTAGCACATCCGCGGTGGAAGAAAAACTTTCAGTTCAATGCGCTCAAATTGGGGGGTTGAGTAATTTCTATCCCAGAATACCGAAAGAACTGGCACGTAAGATTGCAAGTTTGATAGCGAGGATTTTTAATAAATCTGTCTATTCATGGGTAGCACCATATGACTGAAGAATAACTAACGTCGTACCTATATTTAAGAAAGAGAAGAAAAATGACCTGGGCAATTACAGAGCCATTAGTCTGACCTCAGCAGTATGCAAGGTTTTAGAACAAATTGTGAAGGAATGAATAATTAAATTCAGAGAGGTAAATGGTAAAGGCGATGTAATGCAACATGGGTTTATCAGAGGTAGATCATGTCAGGTTAACCTGATTTCCTTCTTTGAGAAAATAACTAATTTTTTTAGATAAGGGAATTGCATGCAGTAGATTTAATATACTTGGACTTCAGTAAAGCATTTGACACAATACCACATGGGAAATTATTAATTAAATTAGGGAAGATGGGGATCAGTACAAGCATTGTAAGGTGAATAAGGAACTGGCTAAAGGGGACAAGGCAACGGGTTGTGCTGAAAGGTGAATTATCACATTGGAGGTAGGTTACTAGTGGAGTTCCTCAAGGATCGGTCTTGGGACCAATCTGAGTCAATATTTTTATTAAAGACCATGGCACAAAAAGTAGGAGTGTGCTAATGAAGTTTGCTGACGATACACAGTTGGGAAGCATCATCAGTACAGAGGAGGATCAGAATATTATACTGGAAGACCTGGATGACCTTGAAGACTGGAGTGACAGAAATGGGGTGAAATTCAATAGTACAAAAATGCAAAGTAATGCACTTAGGATCTAATAATAAGAATTTCTGCCACAAGCCGGGGGCTCATCAGTTGGAATTGGCAGAGGGGAAGAGAGACCAGGGTGTGTGGGTTGATCACAGGATGACTACGGGCCACCAGTGTGATGTGGCTGTGAAAAAGGCAAATGTGATACTAGGATGTATCAGGTGAGGTATTTCCGGTAGAGCTAGAGAAGCATTAATGCCATTGTACAAGGCACTGGTAAGACCTTGTTTGGAATCCTGTGTACAATTCTGGGCACCCATATTCAAGTAAGATGAGTTTAAACTGGAACAAGAGCAGCTAGGATGATCAGGGGAATGAGTCTGGTTTAACACAACTACTACAATCTCAAAGTAAAGTCACCACTATTACTGTCTAGTGCACAACATGCAGAGTGAATTCCTGACACCATTGAAATCAGTGTCAAAACTCCCATTGATTTCAGAGGAGCCAGGATTTAACCCACAGTACTTACAGGAAACCCTTCCAGCCTGAAGCTTTTCCTTAGGGTTCCATAGAGAATACCTTACCACTAAACAGATCTCCTCTAATCCCTAGCTTCCTCTATCTGAGGGGTGTACCCTTATATCAGGTACGCTAGCATCAGCTGCAGCAGTCAGCTCTAATTTATTTAACCTCTCTTTAGCCAGGTCATTCCTTGCTAACACTGCCAGCCTACTGCAGGCAGAGAATAACAAAATGGAATTCAACTTTGAATTATATTTCCCAATATATATCAGCTTGCATGTTTTCCAGCAAAACACAGCTATGCAATGAAGAAGGAAAAAACCTGGAAAGCTGTAATGCTGAGAAGTAGGGATGACAGTTGGTAGTGCGTCATTACTATGATTGTTTGTTATTTATTTGTATTATAGTATTGCCTAGAGTCCAAGGCCCCATTGTCCTAGGCACACTATAAATATATGTCAAAAGAGACGCCCTGAACAATTTACAAGATATGAGCCTGCAATATGGTATGGTAGGGAAAAAAAAAAGCCAATGCAGTTTTGGGTTGCATGCACAAAGCAAGCAGTTTTGGGTCAGAAGTAATAATTTCTCTCTGTAGTCATGCTGAGTGTACACCTGGAATTTTGTATTTATTTTTGTACATCTGATTACTAGAAAAAAATTAAATGTGAAGGAATTCAAAGAAGAGTTAAAAATATCCCTCGTGGGCTGGATGGAATCCTTTAGTCAGTAGGTTTGGGGTTGGAAAGAAAGATTATACTAGCATTACTAAGTAAGATATATTTAAAGGGCATAAACATCAAAAAGGAATAGGAATTATTAAGCATAGTTGAAGGTGTTTTAGCTAGGAGTAAGGTAGTGAGATTAAGAGAAAATGTATGTGATTATGAGGAAAATTTCCTGACAGTAAGTTTTATTAGTTTATGAAATAGTCTCCTAAGGAAAGTGATGGAAGTGCCTTTGCGTGGCGTATTTAAAACTACATTGGACAAATCACTAGTAAATGCACACTAGGGAACAATCCTGCTTTGACAGACGGATGGACTAGATGACCTAGTAGGGTCTTTTTCATTCCATGATTCTATGAATCTGTGACTTTCTGATATTGCCAGGGAAGTTGTCAACTTAAAGAAATTGCTGCCAAAAGCTCTAAACTCAGTTTAATATATGTCTTCTGCTGCTAGCAGGGACAAATAACTCTTTCAATCCCGGGCAATGGAATGCACAGAAAACTTATTTCAAGAAGGAAAATACCTCCCCTTTCCCGGCTATAAAAGCAGTGAACTGCTAATGCTTATCTCAGCAAAATGTACTGTTTATGTGTAAAATTTAATTTAATTCCTAGAATAGGTTTAAGCCTTTAATAAACATAGCATCGGGCATACAGTAAAATGCAGTATCTATCATTTCTTTAAGATAGCTAATACGGTGGAAATTGTAGGCCGTGATAGTACCTTTTCAAACTTACATGGAGTGTTAGTAAGGTATAAGGCAGCTATTCCACTGATCATTGCTCTGAACATAAGATTGATTGCTCAGAATTCAGACAATCTGAGTTTACCTTGTGCTAGAAATAACTCGCTAGGAAAAGTAAGTATTTATATATAAAGATACATCAGAAGCTTGCTCCTTGCTGGGGCTTGGCTTTATTAACAAAGAAATTAACAATAAGATAACATGATTTCACCTGGAATCTATTAAGCAGGAGGGGTGTAAGACCTTTAAATCAGGCCTCCTCCATCCTCCATATTGAGAGCTGGAAACTCCTTTGGTCACCCTTCCACCTCAGCCCAGCCCAGACTTTCCACATGGAGTCCTGTAAACTGTTGGCGGTGAGCCTTTTAATTCTCCCCTCCCCTGCCCTACTTAGGATTTGAGACTTTTGGGGCGGCCACTCCGTTGTGGCCCAATATCTTCTCCCATATTCCATCAGGCAGTGAAGATTTAAACTACTTCTGGATGAATGCAGGAACTCATATAGTTGTTGGGACCACTGCTCCATTCAGTCCAGATCTGACCTTCCTTTCTAGATTCCACCAAATGACAAGTGCTGTGGAATCCATTCAGATAGGCTCCAACTCCCACTAAGCTTCAGAATCTTTGAGACTGACTCATGAGATTTCATATAAGGCAACAACATTCTCTTGAAATCTTACTTCAAAGCCATCAAAGCCAAGCCTTGGACAATTAGTTGGACAGAACAAATACGTACATTTGTTTTACATTTTCAGATGAACTCTGGCATTACAATTGTATATTAACCAATGGCTTCTTGGTATACTTTTGCTTCAGATAAGACAAATTAGGAATATTTCATTTCACACATCATGTTTTAAGCCTCTTTTCCACAATAGCATCTGTTTATTGGCTCTGGTAAGCCTAACGGATCAGTGAGATCCAAGATACAAGACATATTAACTTAGCAATTGTTTTAATGTTTCTTTAATTGATCTGTTGTTTATCACCAAAGAATGCTCATTAATGTATCCCATATGGTTTAGAAAGGAGCAAACAGAAATATGAGTGAATAATGCATCTGCCTTGAAGGAAAGTTTAATCATGTTATTCCACGTGTTTATTTGCAGGTCATCCTGAACTTTATAGATTGTAAGTCACCACCAGTAAATCAGCAGTTAGACCATTGCAATGTTGGCAGTGTCTTTTAGTGTAACAATGCTAAAAGCGTAAAAGTTCCATCAAGGGTTATGTGCACAAGGATGCAACAGACATTGTACTATCAGCCACAATGACTTTCATTTTAGATTAAGAGAACAATAGAATAAAAGAAATCAAAAGTAAAGTCTCAGAGGGAGAGCACAGACTGTGTGTCTCTTTGGACAGTCTGCCCTAGTCTCTGAGAACAAAAAGGGCTTTTGAATTCTGAATACCAGAACAGAAGTTTAAAAGTGCAGTGCACAGAAAACGGAAACATTACAGTCACATAGCTAAATGTGCCACATAAGGGTTACTTTTTAAAACTGTGATCCTGGAGAAAATCAGGAATTAGAAAGACGGGAAATACAAAGAAGCAATTTTATATATTCTATAGAAAACTTAGTTCTTCCATCCATTTGTTTTAATCCAATAACCAAAAGTAATTGAGCTAAGTTCAGCCCTGATGTACACCTCTACCTCGATATAACACGAATTCGAATATAACGCGGTAAAGCAGTGCTCCGGGGGAGCGGGGCTGCGCACTCTGGTGGATCAAAGCAAGTTCAATATAACACGGTAAGATTTTTTGGCTCCCGAGGACAGTGTTATATCAAGGTAGAAGTGTATCTCCATTGAAGCCAGTGGAGATATAAAATGATACTGGTCTACTTTGTAAAGCGCTTTGCGATCTAAAATATGAACAGTGCTATACAAGAGCTAAGTATTATTATTTATTAAGGGAACTAAGCAGTTCAGGATACACAAGGCTAACAGAAATACAAGGCTCAGATTTACTGAGTTAACGAAGAACTTTGAGATTACTTGTGTACCTCTGCTGTCTTGTCTTATAAACTCTTTGGGGCAGGGATCATCTTTTCATTATGTGTATTTACAGCGTCTAGTGCAGGGATTGGCAACCTTTGACACGCGGCCTGCCAGGGTAAGCCCGCTGGTGGGCCGGCCTGGTTTGTTTACCTGCCGTGTCGGCAGGTTCGGCTGATCGCGGCTCCCACTGGCCGCGGTTCGCCGCTCCAGGCCAATGGGGACTGCGGGAAGCAGCCCTGGCCGAGGGATGTGCTGGCCGCTGCTTCCAACAGCCCCCATTGGCCTGGAGCGGTGAACTGTGGCCAGTGGGAGCCACGATTGGCCAAACCTGCCGACGTGGCAGGTAAACAAACCGGCCCGGCCCGCCTGGGGGCTTTCCCTGGCGAGCTGGGTGACAAAAGTTGCCGATCCCTGGTCTAGTGTAATGGATCTTGTGATCCTTGACTGGTGGTCTCTCTGTGGTAAATAAATAAATAATACTTATCTTCACTGACATTATAAATCAATATTTGGTTCTTTGTTATATCATTATTTAAAATGACATAATTTCAATGACTATAACTTAACTTGTAGGCTGAAAACTTGCTTTCTTTTGACTTAAATGAGTGTGGGACTGGGCCAGAGTAGATATAATGAACCAAATAATTTAAGCACAATTTTATATACCTTGTTCTGTTTTTCTATAGGATCAAACTCATTATCAAAGATTTACTGTGATGGAATATGGTAAGTGTGTTCCGTGTGCACTCAGACACAGAAAATTGTAATCCTTCTTTTCTGGGAATGGGAAAGTGTTATATTGTGTCAAGATGACAACGGAGTTCAAATACTACATTGATGGGTGTCTTTTTTAAGTGCACTTCACAATAATTCCCATACTTCAAATTGATTCCTGTGGAAGAGGGTCATTCGATTCTTCAGGTATCAATATCTGGCATTAAACTCTTGGAGTGGACATGAAACCTCACTTGCATCTCCTACCTCTCTAAGACTGACCCACAACTTGCAGGATTAGGATGTCATTTAGCAGTTTAATCAATGATATTTTGGATAAAACTAGAAAAGTGGTAGAAAAAACAGTGAGGACTTCGGTTTGCCAGTATCTCAGCAACAGCAATTAGAGGATATAGATTGTGCGGGATGTTCCCTGCTTATCTGAATGGACAATTCCTGCTCTGTGCTGTGAACGAAGGCAATAACTCCAACTGAAGTCACTACTAATATGCCCCGAGGAGGCATTCTTAACTTTGAAATGATGATCAGTGTGAACTGAACTAGAGCAAATGAAACCCCATCATCTGTGTAGTCTTTTAAGTTCACTGATAGTACTGTAAAGACTGAATTGATTGAGTAGTTTTGCTTTTTCAGGTCTGACCTGAGAGAGAAAGGAATGATATATTAGTTCTCAGTCTTGCAAGTGTCTCTGCACAAATGGACCTCTGTGTCTGCTTGGAGTCTCATCAAAGTCAGTTTGCTCTGTATGAGTGCAGCAGTCTGTGTGTCGTTCTCGGTGCAGGATCAGCCTTAGATGCACACCAGTTTTGGTTCAACAAATGTGTCCTACCTGATGTCCTTTAGGAAGCTGTAGTAATGCAATCTGTATTACAATGAAATCACTCGTCCATCAGAGTGGTGGGAGAATCCATCATCATTACAGTGAAATACCCCTATTACTTAAGACTGATACTTGCTTTCCTAAGTATGAATTTAATACTTCTGACATGTTTTAATGTTAGCTTTTGATTTTTTTGTAGTGTTACCAAAATTTGAAGTTACTCTAACAACATCATTATATTATCCTTTGAAAGACAAGGACTTTACTGGTATTGTCACTGCAAAGTAAGTAAATCATAAATTTACACAACTCTCTCACTGGATTAATATAATTCATATATATTCATGTTACTTTATCTTATAAAATAGTTACAAAGTTATAAATCAATCATAATATGGATTTTAAAAGGTGACAAATGAGTGTTTCATCCCATTTCTAATTTAGATATTATTATTTATTGAACATGAGAGTGTGCTTAGTGTGGCACAAACATGGTGTATGACCAGAGAATTTAGAACCTACTTTTAAAAATGGCAGATTACTTCTCCAAAGGTGGTGGGAAAAGGAGATTAAAGAAGGAATAATATTCATGTATAGCTCAATTTTATTTGAAACAGTTCAGTCTGGATTTCAAGAGAACTGAAATTGCAAGTGATCAGGGAAGAACTGAAATGTAATTAACATTTGTAAAGCATTTTGAAATTCTTAGACGCATGTTGCTACATTAGTGCTAAGTATTGTCACTGTTAAAGGTTTATAAAGTTTTGTTAATTGCAGCTGATTCTCTTTCATTTACTTCAGAGCGTTTAGCAGTGTTTGTTGTTGTTGTTCATTATTTTAAATCTGTCACAGTGCACTGTTGGGCAGCCCAGGACAGTTATGCACTGTGACAGGCTCTTTCAGTGATCTGTGATAGTGTCACTGGGCTGTGGGAGTGAAAATAAGATCTAGTCCTCCCATCCCTCTCAAAAACCCTCATACCAAAACATCCCAAATAGAGCTTTCTGCAATCCCCAAAGGCAGATGAACTAGAGAGTCCATGAAGTTTACAAGGGACTTTGCTGTTGTCAGTCTATGTTACATGGAAGGCACTCGCATACTACGGAGCTGAGTGGACTTAGAAACCCATAAGATAGATGGCAAAGATACTTTGGTGTCTAGAATTTGCCAGTGTGAGTTGGGGTTCAGTGTTATGTATATAGGTTTACTTAACTGATAGAATGGTTACAGTTATGACTGATGGTTGCAAGGCAATAAGGTTTGGATGTCATAGGATTCTGTGAATTTGAATTCCTTGCAGTTCTGAAGTTTTATTGGTCCTAGCTGTATACTGGGCCTGGCTTACCCCCAGTAATATTTTTATGATAATTCAAGTATACTGCCTTTGGATAAAAAAGCATTGAGATTTACACTATCTTCAGATTTGTCAGTGTTTCTTTTTATCATGTTTGTAATATTACCAGATTGAGATATGAAAGACACAGGGATGTTGCCCAATGACTTTGTCATTTCTAGGACTGATTAGCGAAGGCTATGTTTATGTCACGGACGTCATGGAAGTCACGGAATCCGTGACTTCCAGAGACCTCCATGAAATTCTCTGCTTCAGCCCCAGGAGCTGCGGGACTCTGGAGCTGGCAGCCAGCCCTGGCATGGCTCCAGTGGCAGGCTATAGCAGCGACAGGGGCCCCCTGCAATGTTCCAGCGACAGGAACAGACTCCTGAGGGGGCCCTCCTCAGGGTTCCAGCCATGGGTGACAGTCTCATGGGGGGATGCTTTGGGCAAGTGGGTCGGGGTGTCCCGTTTTCTCTTTGGGAAATACGTTCACTCTGCAGCTCCCAGCTGCTGTGGGCAGAGGCCCCCCTCCCAGCAGCTTCCAGCTGCCATGGGCGAAGGGGGAACCCCACAGCTCCCAGCCACCATGGTGGTGGGGGAAACCAGGGAGCTGCAGCAGCAAAAGTCACAGACAGGGCATGGCTTCCGTGAATTTTTGTTTATTTCTTGTGACCTGTCCGTGACTTTTACTAAAAATAATCATGACAAAATCTTACATTAATCAGCTATAATTAAGGCTAACTCGTATTTTTAGGTCTTCCAGCCTGTCCTCTAAAAGACTGAAGTTGCTGCAGAATGGTGTTGTGAAAGTTTTTCCTGGAACTAAGATATTTGATGATATTTTTCCAGCGTCTCTGTTTTAAAATCTCTGTAACAGTTGCCAGTGTAATTCCATATTGATTGTACAGTACTTAAAGTGCTTACTTGCAGGCTTACTAACAATATTGGTCCAGAGTCACTCTTTGATTTGCTTTTTTTAATTTCCCTTGCTGTTGTTTGAGGTCTGAGTCTGATGAGCTATTGGTTTTCCTTAAACATAATCTGGAAGCATTTGCGGCAAAGCAGTTTAGTATCCGTGCTTCACAATAATTGGACTAAGCTTCCCAACAGGGCCGGCTCCAGGCACCAGGCACCCAAGCTGGTGCTTGGGGCGGCACCTGGAGGGGGGCGGCGCGGCGCTCCGGCCGCCGGGGAGCGCGGGGCCACAGCCGGGCTCGCCGCCCCCCCGCCCCGGCGCTCTGGCCGCCCCCCTCGCCGGCCGCTCTGGCCGCCGGGTGGGGGGGGGAGAGCCGAGCCCCCGC